GAATTTTTATCCTATATATATATATAAGAATAATCATGGTGCAATAACTCAATATGATTCATCTATTAGACTTTCCAAAAAAACTAAGAAAATGACAAGTTCATCTAACTATGAGAAAACCAACACCTATATCTGAATGTGGGAGTTAGGTGTAAACTTTAAAGTATGAGTATAATCATGCTAAAAAATGAGAAGTTGTATCTCATAAAATCATGGTTCATGAGTTACCTTTTATTTTTTACAAAATTTATAATCGATAAATTAGTATGTGAGATCAGATCTATAAAATTATTTATTAAATTTTTATATAAAAGACTAAATAGAATTTTGAATTTTTAGCTCGTTTGTTAGCTCGTTCACTTTTCATAAACAAAGCAAGCACAAATGATGTGGGGCTTGGGGGAGGACCGGCCGGCCCTCAAGGGAGGGGGGCCGCCGCCTCCTCCTTTCCCTTCTTTCTTTCCCTCCTCCCCTTTTCCCTCCTCACCTCCTTCCTCACAATTTCCTTTCCTTCCTCACCTTTCCTTTCCTTTCTCTCCCCCTCACCTTTCCTTCCTAAGCACCTTCCTATTTTGAATGCTTTCCTAAAACCTGAAATTATAATTCTATTCTCCTTCCTTATTTTAAAACTCTTTCCTAAAAACTAAAATATCTTTTTATTCTCCTTGCTTAATTTAAAAGCATTTCCTAAAATCTGAAAGATCTTTTTATTCTCCTTACATAATTAAAAAGTCTTTCCAAAAATCTAAAATCCATTTTATTCTCCTTTCTTATTTTGAATGTCTTTCCAAACTTTGAATTCCTTCCTAAAATTGGTCAAGCCTCTTTATAAAAAGGAGGTGATGTGTTTAAGAATTAGGAGAATTTTTTTATATCTAAAATCAAGTTTTAGTCTCGGTATTTTTCCCTTCGAGAACTGTATCCGACATCGAGGTAGTGATACAGCTGTCCCTTTGTCCGAGGTGGTGATCATCTCTACGGGTCCGGATGGTGTTCTGGCTGTAGCTCGCCCTCAACGAGACATTTATCTATCATTCCAATCTTCCTGTTGTTGTCCACCGGTTTCCCAGCCCAACAGCAGGCCACCACACCTCTTTCTCAACAACCGCCGGTTGTTCTCCTCTCTCCAACCTACTGACAGCCTTCTCCCAGCAAGGCCGCAACTCCTCATACCCCATCCCAACACTCAGTCGCTTTTCCTAAACAACCCAATTTTGCTGTCCACTTGCCTAGAATTCCTCCTGACACTTAGCTGACCCACTTCCAGCAGTCTATCTTGTTCTCCAGGCCTTTCACAGCACTGTCAACACTCCCAGCTCGTTGTTCACCATCCAAGATGCTGACGAGCCTTCCCCGTTGCTGCCCCACCATCCCAGATTGCTACCTCACCTTCCAATCTACCTCCCAGCCACCCAACAAACCTTCCTGCCATCTTAAACTACTGCCTCCCTCATCCAATTCACCTTCCAACCTTTGTCGGCCTCTCTCCCATATTCACACTTTCTGCCCCTAATCCTCCAGATCCATTGGGCCAACCTCCATCGTCTTGGGATACACTTTCGATGTGTTGGCTTGTGTCTTTCTATTTGTTTGTAGTTTATTTCATGTCTTGAAGAGTCATTGTAACTGACTTCAAATTCAATAATAATATTTGTATTTCTTTAGTGGCTTGAGCTTTCTCCTGCAGTATTAATTGGTATAATAGCCCAACTCTAGTCCCATCATAGGATTTCTAGCATCTGCCCCTACCCAATCCACCACACCAATTTCTTTTTTGTTCTATCTTTCGTGCATTTCTTTTCTCTTTTTTCTTTGCTCCTTTCTTTCCTTACACAGATCCCAAAACCGTCAACTATGCCGCCAAGAAGGAATATGCACAAGCCTACCCCGGAAGAGATACGGCGAGAACTCCTTCGCCTCCAACAGAGACTTATGGACATTAATGAAAAAATCCAGTGAGAAGTTACCCTCAATCGTGATCAAGAAGGCCGAAATAAAAAGCAGGAAACATGGTACCAGTTCCTACCAACTTACTACCACCAAAAGTTGCAGACTCTACCTTCCGAAGAGAAGAGACACCCCCCGGGTGCTACTATCCAGTGAAACCAATCCACAAGTCTGTCACACCCATAAAATGTTACAAGTGCCACGAATTCGAACATTTGGAAGCAGAATGCACAACAAGGTGAGTGATCCATTTCACGGAGCAGGGCATTGTTGAAACATGGGTTAAGGACACTATGGACACTTAAGAGCAGTTCGAATGAGAATTTTTATCCAGTGACGTCTTCCCCTGAGGAACTCGCTTATTCGTGAATACATCTGAAGTCTTTCCTCCACGTGATAAAGAGGAACAGAAGAATTTTTATGAGATTATGATTCCTACATCCTAGCGGATGGAGAACTTATTGTTAAGATATGCAAAGGTCACACATATTAGATGCCAGAATTTAAAATTTCAGTGGATGGTCTTAGTAACGATCAACCGATAGCATCATATGCGGTTACACTTCCGACCCTCACCCCCAATGTTCCAAAAGAAGGGACTAGAGGCCGGGTTGAAGTTCTTGTTATTAGAACGAAGCAGAAGATATCAGTTCTCCAAAACTTCAACGGTCAGAGGGAAGTCCCAGAAGATGATAAAAATAACCCATCAACCAAACTCTTACAAACCCTTGAACCCACTGAGACCCAACATGTCATAGATAAGAAGCATATGGTATATTTACTTGTTCAAAATTTGGCTCCGAAAAACCTACGTCAATGTGTACATTCGTCTCAGATTATACTAAACTAGCACAGATCGATAAGGAGTTATGCTCGCAAGTGGGAAAAGCTTCTCAAACGCTTTGGGAACTAGGGCAGTCGCCAGTGGGATCCAAGAAAGGCTAAAGAGAACTGAAAACTTCGACAGATGAAGTCGAAGCTCTTCCAAAGCCTCGAGACTGATGCAGGGCACGAGGGAGGACTGATCAATCCTCAAGGGAGGGGGGCGCCACCCCCTCCTTCCCCTTCTTCCTTTCACTCCTCCCCGTTTCTCTCATCCCCTAACCTTTCCTTCCTAAACACTTTCAATATTAAATCCTTTCCTAAAACATGAAATTCTAATTTTATTTTCCTTCTTTTAAAAACCCTTTCCTAAAATCTAAAGTTTCTTTGTATTCTCCTCGTTTATTTTAAAAGTCTTTCCTAAAATCTGAAATATCTTTTTATTCACATTTTTAAAAGTCTTTCAAAAATCTGAAATCATTTTTACTCTTCTTTCTTACTTTGAAAGTTATTCCATAATTTGAAAACCTTCCTAAAATAGGCCACCTCTCTTTATAAATACGAGGTGATGTGCTTAGAATTTGTTTTTAGTATCTAAAATCAGGTTTTATCCTTGGAATTTTCCCTTTCGAGAGTAGTATCCGACATTGAGACAATGCTCCGGCTATCCGTCACCCAAGGTGGTGATCGTCTTCAAAGGTCCGAGTGGTGCTCCGGTTATAGCTCGACCCCGATGAGATATTTATCTATCCTTCCACCCTTCCTACAGTTTCCACCTGCTTCCCAGCCTTACAGCAGGCCACCGCACTTCCTACTTAACAACCACCGGCTATTGTCCTCCCTCCAACCTGCTGTCAGCCTTCTCCCAGCAAGTCCACAGCTCCCCATACTTTATCCCGACACCAGTCGCACTTTCAGAACAACCCAATTTTGGTGTCCATTTGCCTACAA